TTAACTGGACATCATTAACTTCACACAGACTCTCCCACTGGTACATTTTCATCTTTAAATCACTTCTTGGTCTGCTGCCTTCATACATCTCCTCCTACATGTCTCTGCGTGAGTGCAGCTACAGCGTGCGCTCTCAGGACATTATTACCTGCAGTGTTCCCTCAATGAGGACTGAACTAGGCAAAAGGGCCTTCTCCTACTCCGCTCCTGCTTCCTGGAATATCTTACAAAAAGATTTGAAGCTCTCGACCTTGACCTCTCTAAATGACTTTAAGAATCTGTTGGACACCTGGCAGGGTCCAATGCAGACATGTTCCTGTTTTTAGTTTTATACATTCACCTTAGAATCTAACTGTTTTTTGTTACTTTTTTTGCCATCTCATTTGTATTTAAAAAATCTGTATGCCTTTTTATGACTGTCTATTGTTGTATCATTCTTTGTTGAAACCAGGTCTCTCTTGTAAATGATTCCTCGAGGCTCAATAGGATTTATCTGTCTAAATAAAGGTTGAATGAATGAGGGGTTCAGTGTCTTGCCCAGGGACACTTTGGCATGTGACTGCTGGTAGAATTGAACCCCCAACTCTTTCATTGGAGGATGACTGCTCTAACAACTCAGCCACAGCCGCCCTACAAGTTCTGTTAACTGAAAATTTCTAATGGTGGTTAGAATGATGATGATGATGATGTCATTACCAGCACATGCCTATCCAACCCTTTCCTAAGCTCCAACTCAGAACTGGGATCCTGTAATAGAACCATAGACCCCCATAAGGACTGCTGGACCAGCCAAGACACATAAAAATAACAAAAAATAAATAAAACCCCGAGTGCCTGATTTGCTGGTCACCACTTAAACTAACTGACTAGAATAGAGATACACTGACTGTGTGTCTGACTCCAGTCAGTTAATCCTACTTATGTAGAAAAAACAAAGAAGTTTTGATTTTATTTTTTGGTTATGAATACTTAATGTGGTGAAAGGCTAAATGAATATATTTGGTCAGACTGTAATCGATAGATGTAAATGTTCCAATAGTCTCTTTGCAGCTTTCTCTTCTATCACCCACTCCTTTCGAGCCGACTGTGTTTCATGGATGCTTGAGCGTGAAAAAAGAATCTCGTTGAGTGGATCCATAGAAATAATGAAGAAAAAGGCCTCGGAGTTTGTCACTGCAAAACACAGCCTTTTAATTACAGCTGGTTCTCCTGAGACTGAGCTCAAGCACAGCCTGAGCTCTATGAGCCACAGAGGGCCGGCATCACTGCTAAGCTAACAATGTTTGCCACTGCAGCGCTGATATACACATTCAATTAATCTGGGGATTATGTACGGCGGAAATGCTATGGATTATATCAGAATATGTCCATTATGGTTAATTGGGAATCATTACTGTGGGATGTGTATGAGAGAGGTTTGTCAGTGGCTGTGGTGCAGCTCAGGCATGGCCCCCGGGTCACATACGGCCCTTTGGCTGACTGTGACCGGCCAGTATAAGGTTAACTGGGAATTACAAAATAAAGATGTTTTCTGATTTTACCTCATGCATGGAATAACGCTGCATTGCTTTTTATTTTATTTTATTTTATTTTTTTTTGGGGGGGGGGGGGGGTAGTGCAGCCTACATGGGACCAGAAAGCTGCAAGCTCAACTCCCCAACATGCCCACATGCCGTGGTGTCCTTGAGCAAGACACCCAATCCTCAATGGCCCCTCGCTGCTCCACCTGGGTGTATCTGAACTACTGTCATCATTGTGTGGAAACACATAGCACTCATTCTGCAGTTGTTACTTTGTTCTTTTCAAGCACAAAATGACGCAATACATAAACCAAGACATGTGCACATGCAGGCACAGACATCAGAAGCTTTGCTAGCTAAGCTACAAATGCAGCGAGGCTTTTTTTACCAAGCTTCACACGTCCAGGGAAGCAGCAACCAAAACTAGCTGTGATATCCCACAGCATCACTAACAACAGTAAGTCGGGGGGGTCAAAGAGTGCTTGGTGGACTCTGCAGCACTAATATACCTTGGAAAAAAGAAGCATTTGAACAAGTCCTGATGACCAGGAGAACTGTGACTTCAGTAAACACATCCCTGGATTCTGTAACCTTACTGTCGCCCAAATCCAGAATGTTGATTACACCAACCTTTACAGCTGGGCTGTTTTTGTGCATGCACCATTGCGTGCACCCCCCCCCCCCCCCCCCCCCACACACACACATGTTTTAAGGTGAATAATGTACCAGAAAAAAGTAACATTTCATCTAGATTTTCTTACTTTCATTGATTCCACAATTTTAAAGTGTTTCTCACCAAGTTTGAGACAAGTCAGCTGTGGGATTTTAAAGACAATTTGAATGTACTTTAACACAGAGATATTCCAAAAAGTTCAAGACAAATACAACTGGGCTTTCTTTGTATTACAAATAAATTACAAATAAAGTCCAGTTGTTTTTGTCTTGAACTTCTTTGAATTTACCACGTCCTGGACGACTGAGAATGTTCACCAGTGTTGAACACACAGCGTCAGGTCGGTGCTGCTTGTGTGAAAATGAAATACACAAACATCACCACTGGACTTCTGTACTTGTGTTCAACACTACTCATTAAAGAGTTTCTCACCAAGTTTGAGGAGAATAAACTGTGATGTTTAAAACTGGTTTTCACTTCCCCTGGCAACAGTTGCCACCTGCCTGAAGACCGCCACCATCATCCCAGTCCCAATTTTTTCTTTAAGAAAAATGGGAGGGAGGCCCCTTGACGTGACATGGGCTGTCTCTCTCTTTCCTTTTTTCAGTTCTCAAAATGGCGGATGCTCGGTGTGGTTTGAGCTCTTTAGCATTTTTCACACAAAGCTTTTAATAAAAATCAGTAAACAAGTTCTCAGCTTCTTTTTGCAGAGAAAAACAACTTTTTACACAAAGGTACGAGTTTCAACTGTGAATTTTTGGAGCTTCGACAAGACGGAGTTTTTTTTCCCCGAGGTCGGCCTGTTAGCTTAGCTCATAGCTTAGCTTCTCAGCTTAGCTGCTTTTAATGATGATTAAAACAGATTTTAAAGATAAAAGAGAAAGGGAGGGGTCAGTGAAGAGCACCAGAGTTGAGCCTTTTGTCAATCAGTGTCTTTCAGTTGAAAGATAGACACGAACAAATGATAAAGCCGATAAATGAAAATGAGGTTGATAATTTTCACTTATCATGTGATTAACTGATTTATTGTTTATCGCGACAGGCCTAATGATGACAGGAAATGATCTGTCCACGGAGGTAAATGCATGCATGGACACGCTGGGACTGAACGGGACAGACTGGCAGGTGTCACAACGGCCGGTTGTCCAAACCTTTTGAAACGTGCAAAATAAAGTGACTGAAATCAGCAGATCAGAAAATGGAATTGTTGCATTGTATCATACACCAGCATGCGTTGTGCTATTCAGTGCTACAAATTGTGTCACTGATGTGACTAAAATAGTAAACTTCATCAGGGCACGAGCGCTGAATCACAGGCAGTTTGATGCACTTTTAGAGGAGCATGAGCCTGAGCAGTGACATCAGCTGCCACAGCTGTCAGATGTTTGGGACCTGGAAGCAGAGACTCGAGTTCTGTGAGAAGAAAAACAAAGACATCCCAGAGCTCTCAGATGAGGACTGGATGACAGAGTTTGCATTTAGTGTTGATGTGACTGCACTGATGAATGAACTGAACACCAAACTGCAAGGCAAGGCCCTTTTTACAATACAATACAACTTTATTTATAAAGCACTTTAGAAACAACACCGTTGGCCAAAGTGCTGGCTACTGCTTATTTGTAGTCAGGTTGTGGAGGCACCAGATCCAGGAGAGAAACCCAGACATCCCACTCTCCATCAGCCCTTTCCAGCTCGTCCTGGGGGACTCCAAGGTGTTCCCAGGCCAGAGAAGATACACAACCCCTCCTGCGACTTCTGTATCTACCCCGGGACCTCCTACCAGTGAGCCATGTCAGAAAAACACTTTCATACAGCACTGTACACCTCTACAAAGATAATCTGAATCTGTAGAGACTAATCAGAGCTTTATCACATTCAGACACCGATGGGACACACATCAGAGGCTGTGAGGGGTTCAGTGTCTTGCCCGGGACACTTCAGCATGTGACTGCTGGTGGAATCGAACCCCCAACTCTCCCAGTGGACAACTGCTCTAATCACTCAGCCACAGCTGCCACAAAAGAAGTCTGGGGTTAAAAGGTTCTTTTGACATTTATTATCGTGCACTCTTTATCAGGCATGAGAACCTGTAAATGTTTTTCTTTATGTCAGAAGAGTCTTAAAAAAAACGACATTTGTATCTTCGCTTCAGTATTTCAGTGTTTGCTGTTTTGAATAAGCATAAATTTAACAAGGGTCTTCTTGTGTTTGTTAAAATCATTGATATTCTTCCAAATCAGAACTGAATTGTAAAGTGACTAAGATTCCCACTGCAGGCTGACTCGTCTAGTGTTGCCACTAAAGCAGGTCCAGTGCTGGATCAGAGCTGGTTCCTAACTGGCTTTTTAGAAGTCCAGTTTGGTTTTTACCAGCCTTCAATTCAACTTTCTGTCTCATTAAATGGCTCCTCTTGTAAATGTTTGATCCTTCCTGTGTAGAGCATGACAGATCACAGGGCTTTGTGTCATTATTCCCTCAAACAAATGTCTTCATGCCATCAGCTCATGGTCTGCGGCAGCATTTCAAACAGCAGTTGGTGAGATAAAGAAAGAGCTCAAAGTGTTGATAAAAATGTGCTACAAGTGTTCCTGCATTAAGCTAAACACAGTGACAGACCCTAATACTGAGCAATCACTAGCATCCATTTGACTCATTCAGTTTCAAAAACACTAATTTCCCTGAAACGACTGAAAGTAACTTAAGAGATGCCAAAACATGAGGCAGGAAAGATCACTGCCCCCCCTGAGAACCGCTGGGCTCATGAGAGTCCATCCACACAATAACAACAAAAAATAGCTTGCTCTTACCTGCTTGACCCGTAGCAATGCTAACAGCTGCGAAAAGTCTTTGCGTGCGGCTCAGGTCAGACACTCCATTGACAGCCTCCACCTCAAAAGTGTAGTTGGCATGGGCGAGCAGATCCATGATGTTCACATACGTGTCCACTAACCCTGACTGTGCAGGAGAAAATCCCACATTGGGCCCACACGGAACACATTCCTCTGGTTCCCAGCTGCAGCGTCTACATCCAACCCTGTAGGTGACATCATTCCGACCGCCGGTGTCCGCCGGTGGACTCCACTCAAGGTTAACGGTGGTCTGGTTTGTGTTGTACACCAGGTTCTGTGGTGCTGATGGAGGTCCTGTCAGAGGAAAACCGAATTAGACAATAACAGTGACAGCCAAGTGTGAGCATGGGCTGGATCCACGCATTAATGTTCATGAGTCAAAAAGGAAAAGGAACAAGCAGTATGCCAATGTCATCCATCTCTGAGGGACTGGAGTAGTGAATGTTTGTAGTTGACTGAGATGTGTGTTTTTCTGGACTGAAACTGAATAAGGAACGCAAGCAAAGCAATGTTTTAGTGCAAGATGTTCATTGGTTGATTGGATTGGTGGTTTATTGGTGGATAAAATAATATCTCACCATGCCCCCCACCCCCAATCCATGAAGGAAACTATAATTTTAAGCAATAGAAAAACTAAAAAGCTTAGTTTCTTCAAATGATCAGGGTGGCTGGTTTACATATATATATACATATATACATAGTTATTGTGGTGGCTATCCTGGATTATGACATGGCAACACATCCATCAATCCATCTTCTACTGCTAATTTGTAATTGGGTCGCAGAGGCAACAGAGGGTAAAGGAACTGGATAGTAGGGGTATAACAAAACATCTTTTTCTTTTCATTCAATCTTTATTTAGACAAGTTAATCCCATTGAACCTTGGGGACTCATTTACAAGAGAGACATGAATTACCTGATAGACAGAGATAGAGACCTGATTTACATCGATATATCAATTAAATGATTAATGATTCAATTACATCGTGGCAAAACTAAAACATTGATTCATATCGTCATCTTTAAAATACGTTTTTATTTTGAAATTCCCAAGGCACGTCTGTGTCACCATTTCCATGAGCAGCTGCGGCCGCCTCAGCAACATGGCAGACGAGGCAGAAAACACAGAAAATGAAATTCACTCTCCTGCTGGATTTAAATCAACTCTGTGGAAATATTTTGGATTCTAACAGAAGAACAGCTCAACAGACAAAACTCATACGGTATGCAACAGGTGCCAGTGTGAGTTAAAATACTGGGGAAACACAACTTTTGCTGTTCACCTGAAGAAGAAACACAGCTTTGATAGGCATGTTATGTAAGCTCAATATCTGTTTTTGTTTCTTTATAACTGAAAGGTAATCAGGGCATTTTAAGTTAACTGGTTTAGAAAAATGAACTTAAACATGAGAAATGTGAGACTATACTGAACAGGTCGTTTGTTTTTCTTTTTTCATTAATTAAGAAAAAATGTTTTTAAATGCCTGGTGCCTGTAATAACTGAAATAAAATGGTTAAATCATAGTTGAATTGTTTTTGTAAATGTATTTATATGTAAATGAGATATTTGATATAACAATATATTGATCACAGACTTGTGAATCGAATAGAATCAAAATCGTATCGTGAAAAACTTTGTGCTATCGAGAAAAATCGTATCATCATACAAACAAATCAATATAATATTGTATCATGGTAAAGCTGGTGATTTACACCCCCTACTGGATAGCTCTTAAAAGCAATCCAGGCACCCCATACTCCCGCAGCACATCCCACAGAATGCCTTGAGGAACATGGTCATAAGTAGGGATGGGGTCGATCTGATCCAGTATCCGTATCGGCTTCCGATACCAGCATAATTTATGTATGGGATTTTTCTGTTCCAACCTGCAGAGATTTCTGATCCATGGTGCATTTTGGCTTCAAACTATGGAATGGATTTCCTGAAAGGAGGCATGTCTCATGAAACCCAGAGTAATAAGACCCGCCTCACATTCAGGAAATCCATTTCATAGTTTACAGCCAGCTAAAACATGAGGACTAAATGAGCAGCACTGTGGCTAACAGCTAACAAACTTTTCATTGAAACATGTCCGCTGTGTGGAAGTATTTTACACTAGAAACAACACATAAAAAGACAGCAACGTGCAATGTCTGCAGAGCAATAGCACCACGTTAAACTGTGGTAAAGTTAGTTTTACGATGGACATTCAAGCTCCGTGGCTTCAGCGGTGTGTTCTTCTCGTTCAGTCTGAAGTCTCAGGCAGACTGAGCGCGGCTGACCGAAATCAGACTGCCTGCTTCGAAACTGAACGAGAAGAACACACCACTGAAGCCATGGAGCTTGAATGTTTACCGAGAAGTTGCTAAACTTCATCGTAATTAATGACCAACAACTATCAGCTGTAGAAAATGAAGGATTTTGCAGCTTGATATTTGTAGCCAAGATATAGTTTACCCTCCAGGATATATTTATCAGTACAACAGTAGACAATCATAAAAAAGCATATGAATTGAAAAATACAAGAAAATTATAATATATATATATATATATATATACACATACATACACATATATACACACACACATATATATATACAGCTATATTATAAAGCAATGTAAATTACTAAAAACAGGAACATGTCTGTATTGGTTTATGCCATGAACTTAGCAGATGTTTGAAGCCATTTAGTCACTTTAATATCCACATTAAAGCTAGGAATAAAAAAACATGTTTTGTGTTAGCAGGATTTAATTCTAACTTTAAAACTTATCCAACATTAATAAAACTTACATCAAGTTGCCTTTTTGGAAATGCATGCATACATTTATACAAATTTTACTTGAGGGTATTATTACAGCCTCATATAAAATCAATAATGATGATAATATCAGAACGGGATCGGTATCGGCCGATATCCAGATTGAGGTATGGGGATCTGAAGTAAACAAATGTGGAACGTTGCATCCCTAGTCATCAGCCTTCTCCAGGTCCGCAAAACACATGTAGACTGGACAGGCAAACTCCCATGACCCCCCTTAGCAACTCTGCAAGGGTGAAGATCTGGTCCACTGTTCCACAACCAGGACAAAAGCCACACTGCTCCTCCTGAATCTGAGCTTCGGCAATCAATTGTAGTCTTCCTTTCAACACCCTGGTGTAAACTTTTCTGGGTACAGTGAGAAGTGTGATTCCACTATAATTGGAACACACTCTCCAATACCCCTTTGTAAAAATGGGAACATCTACCCCAGTCTACCACTCCACAGGTTTTGTACCATTCTTCAATGCAACATTGAAGAGACGTGTCAACCATGACAGTCCCACAACATCCACAGCCTTCAGCATATCGGGGCAAATCTCATCCACCCCTGGCACTTGGCTATTGAGGAGCTTTTTGACTACCTCGTCGACCTCTGCCGACTGGAGACTAGAGAGGCAATGCATTCATCTTTCCCAAGTCCTCAGACTCTGACTTCTGAAAGGTGGACATGGTGGGTGAATTAAGGAGATCCTCAAAGTGCTCCTTCCACCACATGACAATATCCTCAGTCCAGGTCTGTAACCCCATACCCCAAATCAAGCACAACCTGGGAAGGAGGCTGCTTTCCTTTTCTGAGTCACCAAACAGTTTGCCAGAACCTTCTTGAGGCCAACCGAAAGTCTTTCTCTATGGCCTCCACAAATTCCTCCCATGCCTGAATTTTTTAATCTGCAACCACCAAAGCTGCAGTCCTTCTGGTCACTCTGTAGCTTTCAACTGCTTTAGGGGTCCTAAGGGACAACCAAGACCAGAAGGCCTCCTTCTTTAGCCTGACAGCCTCTATCACTGCTGGTGTCCACAAGCAAGTCCTTTGGTGGCCACCACGACTAGCAACAGTGACCATCAAATCACAGCTCCTGGAAGTGGCATCTACAATAGAGGCCCTGAGCATGGCCCATTCAGATTCTATGTCCCCAACCTCTCCTGGGACATGTGAAAATCTCTCCTGGAGGTGTGAGTTGAAGATCGCATGGACAAGGGGATCCACCAGATGTTCCAAGTTCACCCTTACTATACGTTTGATTTTACAAGGTCTGTCCGCCAGCCTCACCCGCCATCAGATCCAACTCAACACCAGGTGATGATCAGTTGACAGCTCTGCCCCTCTTCACCCAAGTGTCCAAGACATAGGGCCATAGAATCGAAGACACAATTACAAAATCTATCATCGACATTAGCCTAAGGTGGCCTGCTACCAAGTACTCTTATGAACAACCCTATGCTCAGACATGGTGTTCGTTATGGACAGCTCATGCCTAGCACAGAAGTCCAATAAACTAACACCATTCGGGATCATATGAGGGAAGCCATTCCTCCAAATCACCTCCTTCCAGATAATTCCATCATTGCCTAGACAGGTCACCCTGAATGAGGGTGGCACCCCTTTCAGGACAACATCTAGAGAATTCAAAAAAATGTGGGTAATCTGATCGGATATTTGGTGCATATGTAAAAACAAGAGTCAAAACCTTCTCTCCTGCAGCCCAAAGCTACAAAGTAGCATCCCTCTCATTCACTGAGGAGAACTCCAATACCGAGGCATTCAGCTGGGGACTTGTGAGTATCTCGATACCCCATTGATGCCTCTCCCCCCGGGAAACTCCAGAGTAGGAGAGTCAATCCCCTCTCCAAGAGTTGGGTTCCAGAGTCCAAGGTGTGCTTAGAGGTGAACCCATTTACTATATCAAGTTGGTACGACTCATCCTTACACAGCCAATGACTCAGCCTGTGATGATCTGAAGGCTGCCTCTCCCACAGATCTGTATGAACCTGATTTATATCTGATTATCAGAAGCTCTTTACAGCCAGATCTCACTTTTCTTGGCATGTAGCATCAATGAGCTCCACGGCGTTAACCATGTTTCTAGATGTCCCCACTAACAACAAATAGATTATTTGTTGAGAAACGACAGCGTTGTAGCTGCCAGTGGAACTCGTTTGTTCCACTTTGGAGTAAGCTGTTGGAGGAAGAAATCAGTTTTGTTGTGTGTTTCCTTGACTGATGAAGCCTTCCGGTTCAAAGGCGAAACGTTTCAGCACAAAAAAAAAAAAAAAAACTGTCCAAATGACCTGACTGAAAAATGTTGAATTTTATACCTGGATTATTGAGCATGGACTTTGTTGAACAAATAGATTAGTTTGGGTCATAAAACTATGCGTAACAAATTATTGCTTTCATCTTTCATCTTCCCTCTGTTGGTTTTATGGCTCATCTGTTGATCCAAATATCAGAGTAGTTCATGTTGTA